GTCACCTCTGAAAGTATTGCTTGAAAAAGAACCATGCGTTGTTTTGAGAAATGCGCTGTATGGAGAAAAACCATTGTGTGTCACGTCTCTTCTAAGCTATGTGCATATTCATACCATTCCTGTTAGACTCCCATCTACAAATACAGTACTTAGTATTCACACAAATATATATCAATTATAATAATAATTACCCTTGATATAAGTATATATCGAGAAGAACGCCTTTTTTTTTGTTATGTAGTTATGATCATCGATTATTATCTGATTCCTTCAAGTAGTACTTGAAATTGAATTTTTTCCGTATTACATATCAAAATTGTAATGGTCATAAGCCTCTGACAAGCTTTACTAATCTTTTTTTTTCTTATCGAAGATGAATTTACTGTCTTTAATTGTAGAATTATAATTTTACTAGGAAGTCTTTCCAAGTATAACTCATTCATGATCTTATAGTTCAGATTTTATAGTTCCACCATTAATAAAAAAGAAAAATAAATCAGCCTTTAAAATATTTGATATTTGAAGTGTTCTCAAGCAACCCCCTCAATGTGATTTGATAATGATTGATATGATGATCAATTATTACAATTTCATAAATTCTGGGACACCATAAAAAAATTTGCAGCACATTGTTCGATCAATATTATATTACATTCGCAATGTCAACTCAGAGCTAAAACATAGTATACAGTCAGGGAATATACCGAATATGGGCAGTTGAGTGTCGATCAAATGATTCTAGACATTTCGGTTACACATAATCACGAAATGTCACATGCAAATCAACCAATCAAATTACAGCTTTAAAATAAAGAATTAGCACGAATATTTATTAACAAAACGTCATTTAACCTTCACACTTTAGATCTAAATAGAAATTCGGATTGCAATTTTACTTTATATGCTAAAGTTGATTTACTAATACAAAAATTTTGTTTTAATCATTTACTACAAATATAAAATGTAAAGGTGTTTTAATTAGCAAAACATAAAAATATCGCCAATAATATTGTCTATTCTTTTACCTATAATTTTGATAATGCTTGATGAAATCTTATGTTATTCTATAATTGCAAATGTATTCCAATTCTCTTACAACTATATTTACTGTTTTATTATCTAAAAAAGTAAAAAAAAAAATGTTCAAAAAAAATTAGAATAACCGACTTAATTGTCAAAGGACACACCCAAGAATAGTAATAAATGTGACAACTTCCAGGCGATTATAAGTACAAGCTATAATTTATATTATAATATAGTATTAGTTAAAAACAAATATGAGCATAGCAAAACAAAGTAGTTTACAGAACACCATTTTAGTAAGATTAAACTCCTATGTGCAAAGCAGATCTTCAGATTTCAAGTCTCATTTATTTTTTTAGTGAAAGTAAATTTGAGCAGATTATTGTAAATTATTAAACTAAACATCTTCTACAACTTTATTTGTAAGCTATTTGCAAATTTGCAATAATGAGTTAATTGAATAAAAAATTTTTGAAAAAAATATGTGCAAGAGCCAATAAAGTATGAAAATTAACATGTAGATCATTCTAGAATTGATTTTCTAATTTGGTATATTCTCCAACTGCAATAAGCCTTTTACCAAAACTTCAAGAAAAAATACAATATATGAAAAATATACAAATATCATAGGAACTTATATAAGATAGCATCTGTTGTTTAGAGATAGTTCTCATATGCTATCTGCTAACAGACCCAGAGTTTACCTACTGCAAGAGCAGCATCTGTTATTTAGAAATTGTTCTTATATGCTACTTGCCAACAGGTTTAAAGTTTATTACTCACTGAAAAATCCTAAAAACTTCTTAGCTTAACTCTTGATAATTACTGTTAGGCTCTGCAAAAAACTCTTTTTTCTTTTATCTTGAAACCATTACTTTTTCTTAGCTCTCTCACTAGTTTTCCAAAATTTTTTTGAAAAAGTAAGAATTTTGGCTTACTCTCTTCAAAAGATCAGCATTGTTTACTACTTTCAAATTAGGTAATGACTACTTGTAATATATTAAAATAAGATAAAGAAAACATGTAATACTAAGCATAGACCTAATCATATTTTAGACAGAGACCTGTATACACCAATTGGTACAATATTGTATATATGAAAAAGTCTAGATTGGCTTGGACCTTAACAGGTGAACAAAATCATTGTTGGGATAAATTAAATATAAGATATATAAACATTTCAAAGGCATATATAGTTAATCCTCTTTAAATACATACTATTAGAACTATAGTAAAAATTTTTAAAAACATGCATTTAAAAAAATTATGCATTTAGAGAGAGAAAAATCTATAAGTGTTATATTAAGTTGGACCAAAAAAAAATATGCATTTAGAGAGATTTTATATAGATATGTATTTAGAGAAAATGTATTTAGGAAGGTTCTGATTATATATATAATATTTTTAGCTTTAGCTCAAGTTAAAGAGTATAGTTTAGTTTCATATTTGTTATTTTTTTTAGTTTTTTTATCTTCTTTTTCATTTTTTTATCTATCTGTTTAGTTTTTGGTTTGTTTTTAGTTTTTTATTTAGAAATGTAGTAATCTTCTCTTTTCTTTCTTGTAAGTTTGTTTTCTTATTTCTTTTTTTTTTAAAGATTGTTTTTGTTATTATTTTTTGTTTTTGCACTTTCTAGATAGAAGAGAACTATTAGTTTCTGCTAATAGAAGGCTAAGTAGAAAAGATCTTAAAAATAGGGTAGCTAAATGCCTGCTATAGTAGGTTTTTAAATAGAGGTAGCACTTTATGTGAAACTTCTTAGTAAATATTAGTATGATAACCATATTTAGGCACTTCTGAAGCAGCCAAATAATGTCTAAAATAACTATTAATTGCTATTTATATATACAGATATTGCAATAAGAATTAATAAACTTTAGTACAAAGTTATCAAAGTAAAAAAAAAAAATTATATGAGAGTATATAAAATATTTAATATTGTTGTACTCAAGTTGTTGAACAGTTCTAAGAAAAACAATAGTAACTTTTTAAAAGAAGTAAGTTAATTTATTAATTTAGTTCTTGACAAGTATATATATAAAATAATTTTTTTAATAACTTTGCTGACAATATTATTCTCTAGTATTTACTATTATTTATATTTTTTATTTAGTCAACTTAGTTAATAATTATTATTTATAAATTAAGATATAATTAATAGTTATAAGGCACAAAGTGCTGAATAACTAAGGTATTTGCAGAATGTAATTTGAATAAACAATTTTAAGCACTAAAGGTGCGCAAAATTCAAACAATCAGGTTATATAAGCAAATATTGAAGTTATGAGATACAAGTATCTTATAACTGTTTTATCTAGCATAGAATAGTAATTAATAAAAATTATTGTTATTTATTGATAAAAAAAAGTATTTAAAAGTAAGGATTGGCACCGTTATTCATTTAACTGCCTTTAACCATTTATTTATATTATACGATTAAATGATTAAAAGATTTTATAAACAATTAAAAACCATTTAATTATTTGTTTAACTGGTTTAAAATTTTATGTGATTAATCGTTTATTAACTATCAATTGCTCTACATGAATATAAAGCTATTTAATCGTTAGTATAAAATTTTTTTTTTATTAGCCATATAAACTTTTAATTCGTTATATGTATAAAATTTAGAATGGTGTCAACTCAAAGTTCATTAAGAATAAGTAGTCTTAAAGTACTGAGAATTAATTTTATTTGTTTTCATAGTCTCAACACCTAGTTTTCTTTGATTCTTCAGATGCTATAATATATATACTTTCTAGAGTAAGATTTCCCGTAATATCTATAAACTGAATAACTAACCAGTTATACTAATCTTTGATTTAAACACTTGTAATTAAATAGATGGTGCAAGTAAGTCCAATACTATTTGCATATTTATAGCATTTTACAAACCTCATAATCTATACCAAAAAAATACCAAGAGCGAAGACTTAGCATACCAGTTTTAGATGTTAGTGCTAAATGATCCAGAGTATGTAGTCAAGGTTTTATAATTTTCAATTACGGTAGTTTCTTTTACTGATAATATTATAATAACATAAGCATAACTAAATTATTGCAAAAAGTTATATTATTTACCAACAACAAGTAGGTTATCTTTGTCATATAAGAGACCCGAGTGGAGAGCATATAATTAGTTTTAGCTCAAGTGTCCTCACAAATAATTATATCAAAACAGCCATATCTTCAAAATCAGAATCTTTAATCTGTTATTCACCTGATATTTTTATACAAAAAATGACTACTTCAATAAAAGTACAATTAGTAGTGCCTATATCAGGTGATGAATGAGTAAAAATTGAAACCTATCCAAATAAAGGTGGAGATATAGTATCAATACATAGCAATAGGAAGGAGTTAAGTATAAATAATACAGAAAGTTGAGAGAGTGATGATATAAAACATGATGATAGTAGTAATTGGTAAGTTATTTTATTAGTAAAATTCAAGGCTTGCATAAAAATTCTTTGCTTAATTACCAATTTATGGTATACTATAGAATGGTAAATTTTTTGATTTTAATTGATTGTTCATAATTTTTTATGTTTGGTCTTTTTAATAAGATAGTGTTCCAAATTTACTAATTTATATATTTGATTTCGATTATTATTGAATGTATTAATAAAAAAAATTTTTAGTGATTAATAAACTTTAGTTATAAGTCTTCTTTACTACGATAAAGGATTTGATTATTTCATATTATAGTGAGCGATTTCATGCTTTTGGCTTAAATAAAACATAAATTCTGATTACTAGGAAATAAGTTCATATTGATAACACGACATTCAAAATTTGTATATTAACAAACAAATATAATAATAAACCTTAACATTAAAATAAAGTTAAATCAAATTTCTTGGTAATATACTGGTATATAATCATTATGACAACATGATGATATAAAAATCAAATAAAAGTAAACAAATAAAATCAAACCTTAAAAAAAAAGTTGGATCAACCTCTTCTCATTAAAAATGAATAGTGAAAATTGGGTTGATGATAACTTAGAAATGGATAGCCAATCTGATACTAATGATAATAATAACAGAGAAATAGAATCCTCTTCTAAATCATTATCATCTGTACTAAAAGATAAAAAAACTCCTGAAAGTACTGGTCTACAAAAAAAATGAAAAAAATGAAAACTTTTTTTTTTTTTTTTTTTTATTATATAATGTCATAGTAGAAACTTTATTACAGTCAGTCCGAAGATTGGAAGTTATCTTATAGTCTACAAATCCAGGTAAGGGGACAGATAAGCTACTTATTTATAACCAGGCTGCCAAAACCCTT